AAAATGCAAGTGAAATTTTTTGAATAATTTTAATAATGAGCGTCGCACGTCAATTCGCATATCATTCATGAACGCGATTTTTGCGTTTTAGAAATTAATTTACAGCATTTTTTTAAATTAAACGTTGGATTATATCATCACAATTATTGAGATTGCACTTGCTATGGAAATTAAAAACGTTTTACATTAAAATCATCGACATATTTCGTTGATATTTTTATCAACACTGCATTTAATCAACAAAATGTATGAAAATTTCATTAATGAAATCTTTGTCGATGCTTTTAATGTGTCTCTAGAAAAAGTGAAATTTCTAGTAGATGATGACTATCTTTCGGCGAATCTGATTTTCATAAGACGAAAATAAACCCAGCCAAATCGAAGATATATTCGACAAATCGCGTTCGAAGAGATGTGGAAAGAACCCAGTGATAAGCATCCAACGGCCAATTGAGCAAATAATCACAGAAGCTATGACTGATAATAATACACGTAATCGCGGATGTCATTATCATATGTAATATACAATAAAGCCACTATTTTGAGCAGAGAGAATAACGCGTCACACTAACAATATAAGTAAGAGAGAAAAACTTTCTTGTCTCTTGATAAAAAAAAGAAGATTCTATTAACATTTGCAAATATTTGCGCATGCTTAAGTAAATTTCCGAGATTTAACACGAGTTTTTGAATCTTTTCAAGTAAAATTTGAATGTTCGCAAAACTGCTAAAATTCTCGTCACGTTAAGTTTATTCGAATTCCCTCTTTATTCGCAAAAACAGATATTTGTACTGTGAATCATATATCATAAATAAAAAATTAAAAATCGATCCAGTCAATAAGCAAAGCCGCATAGTATAATAATTATTTCAGAAACAGCCGGATGATCCCAAATTGAGACTATCAATTTACAAAATATAAACGTTTCTTTACGGTCATTATTGCAGAGGATAATTCCTACGCATTATTACAGAAAATTTATCCACGTATACGAATAAAAAGAGGACATTCGGGGAAAAGCACTGTAATACACGAGACTGACGAAGGACATTAGCGTGAACTTAACGACGTCGAGCGACATAATGCCTGAAATTTCTTGGAGCGAACCTGCGGAAAAATGGAAACGTTTCTATTACACATCTCGCCGGCATCGGTAAATGGACCTAACAAGGATTTGACTCGTCCTCGACGATGGCGCGGCGATTACGTCAAAGAAGGACGACTATATTCCAATGAACGAGGAGGCTAACGAGCGTCGCTAATGCAGGAAGTACTCAACGGCTCTATCTTCGCACGAGGATGGACGGTCTAATATCGGATCTCGTAAAATTCCAAAGCTCGTCCCGGTAGGCAAATATACCTCTGCCGAGCGCGAGCCATTGTAATAGTCGTAGATAAGACCTTAAAGCTCGGACGATAGCACGAAGAGCGAATACGCGTTAACTGATTTGTAGGAGACGTTAATTCACGATGTGCAAAGGAAAATAATCGATCATAATAAAAAGGCTGAACTTTCAAGTTCGCGAGAAACTGAGAATACAAATTATCAAACGATATAAACATATGTGTGATTCCCGAAATTGAACAGATTCAGAGGGGATATTTTACAACCCCCTTCACAAATTTATTAATCAATTTTACATGGAAATATTTTATAAGAGATTTATATTACACTAGAGCAAAAAAAACAATACGCATTTTTTTAGCGCCAAAGACTAGATTCACTTTATAAACTTAGTATCACGTGTCGTAGACGCGCAAATGGCTGAATACACCTAAGTAGGGTCTGACAGGGCCAAAAGACTGGGAATACTGTGCCATTATCGAGACGTCGAGGAATTACGGAAATGAGCGGATGCGTTAAGCGCATTATAACGATCACGAATTACGATGATTAGCGGGTCGCGCGGTGGTCGTGTAATGCCGTCCAGGGAGCGGTAGGTGCCTTACGGTGGGCCCGCCTTATTAAAGTCCCATGACGCGCGCTCCGTGGAACGATCGCCGCGCGTCCCCATAAAAATATCTCTCTTCCCAAATTGGACCGTGAATTACAAGCCGCGGCTTCGGCGCGCGTTTGCGCCCCTAAACGACTCTTTTAGCCCGCCAAGTAGATGCCGTTATTAACGCGTTACCGGGCATTTTATATATACCTAGTGCATCGTTACGCAGCCCCAACTGCCAGACGCAAGTACGACACCGCGGATGCGTATAAATTACCGTCGGTTTTTCGGTAAATACGCGCAATGTCAACGCGATGTTTCGGGCATTAATAGACGATGACGGACGGGTTCGTTGAACTACCTTATTTAAAGAACGCGTCCGTCAAGGATATGCTTTTTACGGCGATCCAAGTGTTAATGAGTTGTCTATTATCATCTTTCTGTTATCTTCTAATAAGCATTGTGTTTCAATTACAATGATCAAAGAATATATATGCAAGATAAAAATATAAATAAGTCGCATTAATTGCAATTAATAATCATTCTCCAAGCTAACATAATTTTAACATTATATCGTTTCGCGTATCAGAAATGTTGCGCGGTAATAAAATTAGAAAAATTATAAGGGAGTTTCTGATATTCAAGACAACATCTAAAAAAATAAGTTCTTTGCCACATCGATGTCAAATTTCATGAAGAACGTGCAAGATTAAAAAATTATTTGGGAGATGGGAAAGTCGCAAATCGGAACAACCGCGAAGAACAGCAACTATGTCAGACAACATCGAAAGATGACGCCAGGCGAGTGAATTCGCTGCGTAACGAGCCTATCGATGGGAAAGAAAAGGAGGTGACGGCGTGTTTCGCGTAGGCACGTTGTTGGTACATCGGTGCGATTAACAAAGTACCATACAACGATTGAAGCGGAAAATAAATCGCCGGAGATAAAGCGAAGGTGCGCGTCGGCGCTATGAAGTTTGCGACCACCTACGCGTTTCACGACACCGAGAAAGAGCCGCAAAAAGGCAGAGTCGATCGACAGGGTTCGACAGATTAAAAAAAAAAAACCGGCTGAACAAAGCGAAAGAAGGTGAATACTGAAAGAAGGTGATCGAGGGAACTCGCGACTATCGAAGGAGATCTTCTTGCGGAATGCATCGAGTGGCAACGTTCCTACATGCGTATTCAGAACACAATCTCGAGATCGATAATTGCTAATGCAAGAATTATGTGGCAAATATTATAGAGCAGATTGGAAAATGTTGATACGCTTGATTAGGCAACGCGATTATCGAAGCGACGGGGAGGGAGTGAGAGAGAGAGGGGCGCATAAAAAAGTGTGGATACTCAGGATGGGGATGTTACACGAGACACACGACCACCTCCGCGTCGAACGGCTTTAAAACAACATCAAAAAAAAGGCGGAAAGTGAAACCTTGACGAAGCGCGAGAACAAAAAACAGAAAAACAAACATACGATCGATCGATCTCGTCCCGATTTCGAACGCGTGGCTCCTCGAGATACAATTTAAATTTCATGGAGCGTGTAAGGTCATGTTTGTTCCTCGTGGAAAAATCCCTACCGATCTATAACTATTTGCTGAATAAAATATCGTTGAGGATTTTAACTCAATTAAGCAGATATTCCTGTGTCAATATCTCGCGGAGGAAAGAAAAATTTTGCGAGAATAAATTTTATCTGGAATATTGATTCTAGATGTAATATCCTTTCAATAACAATATGTGTGAAATTTTTAATTATTATTCAAGATTGTTAAATGAAACATGTAAAAGAAATTTCTCGTGCGTTTCTTCTTATTATATTTTTTCTGATCTCACTTGAAATTTAAAGACTATAGTGCAAACTTAATTTTACCGACGGCAAGAATGACAGCTTCGTCATCTTTAACCAGTGTCTCTGTATATTTCATATCACGCGTAAATTAATTATACGCGTCGAAATTTGCAGAAACAACGGGAAAAAAAGAGATTCGTGTAGAGAGACGATCGGCAAACAAAAAAGGCATTAAAAAAGATTAAGTAGCAACGCAGCTGTAGTTTATGTAAGAACAATCTAAAATTTCATGTACCATTTACATATGAGAAATGCTTTTTTTCCCTAGCACTTTAAATTTTACGATTTTCATTCTTTTGTCATATCGAAAATTTAAAATACATTAAGATCTAACAACAGAGTAAATATGAGCGAAAGATTGTACTATTCTTCACAATACAAACACTATACGATAATCTCGGGCAATTAATAACACTTCTACGTAAATCACATAGTTTATCATCGTCTAATACTACACACTTCGTGACGTAAAACACTTTCAGTATATGATAATGCACGCGAACGGCATGCGTCAGCTTCGCATCTGCCTAAGCCCATTTGAAAAAAAAAAAAAAAAACAATCCAGACAGAAGAGAAGACGAGTGAAACGAGAAGCGGAGAGGCAAGGGGAAAACAGATTGAGAGAGCGAGAGAGGAAGAATCCTTCGATATCTTCGTGCCCGGCAGCGATGGAAAACGATGAGATTCTCCGCGCTCGACTCCCGGGCAGCACAAGTATCGATTAATATTGACAATGACAATAATAATAATTAAATTATAATAATCGCAATAATAAGAGATAATAATAATAAGTGACAATAATAATGGTGGCGAATATTATAATAGCAATAATAATAATAAGATCACCGCGTTAACGCCGGACTTGTCACATTTACAACTTTTTTTCGAGACCAGACAATATGAACGTCACAATAATATAATAATAATAATAATAATGTGATAATATATATAATATAATAGTATAATGGTATAATAATAAACATAATAATAATACAATAATGATAAGAACATAGCTTCCTTCCGATCTATACATAGACATAGAGCTTTCGAATCGCCACACATTTCGCGGTTTCATATACATATATATCCTTTTTTCTATATTTTTATATAATATATCATCATCTATATATATATATATATATATATATATATATATTATATATAGATTTGTGTGTATATACACATATTATTTATGCATACTTACTCTTTATACAGAAGGGGTTTTTCACGCGAGGGGGGATCTGTCTTGCCATCTCGCTAGGATTTCGCACGCGCTTTTCCGATACGTGTTCCCTCTCCGATGTATACATGGACCTTCCTGTCCCTTTATATATATATACATATGTGAATGCGTGTATATATATATATATATATATATATATATATATATATATATATATATGTATAAATTGTCCCTCTTTTTTTCTACTTCGTCGCGCCGCATATTCTTTGTCTCCCTCTTCCTGCCTTTTTCTCTTTATCTTTTTTTCCTCCGTTTATTCCAGCTCCTGCGTCTGTTTTTCTCGCTCGCCGACGACGATGACGACGACGATGACGATGACGACGACTCATGTTCTTTCTCACTTAACTTACTAGCTTTATCTAGTACATTATTTACAATCCATATTTATACTTATGTTACATCATTCGCCGAGTTTGCTTCGAGCAAATCCCGCGCGAACACAACACTCGCTTCTTATGTACGTTCTTTTCTTGTTGCCCGTTCGTCCATCCGTATAATTGTCCCGCGAATTTCAGATTCTCTTCGCGGACGATAAGCGGGAAAATCGCACGGAAAGACACTTTTTTACGACGCATGTTTCGTGTCCGATATTCTAGCCCCGCTTCGCGAGCGAGAGAAGGAGATTAAAAACACATGTCCGTCCTTTTCAGCCGCACCCTTGCCTCAAGTCCATTTCGCGCACCCTGTTATTAAACTATCTTTCTTCAGGTTCCCATCGGAGTAAACTCACTTGCGTTCACCAACGATGACGAAAGAAGAACAACAACAACAACAGCAAACAGGCAACAAAGTTCGCGGTCCAGCTTAGATTTCACAAACAGACGAACGGGCCTCGACCTGACCGCGCGAAAGAGGAACGTCATCACTTCGACCCTTCGAGAGAACGACACTGGATCTCCTCCTGGATCGCGTCGCAGAAAAACACGATGAGAAGGTATCACTTATCACCGAGACATCGTCGATGGAGGAATTTGTCGCGACAACGCGAGTAACGACGAGCTGACGGCGATGACGATGACAAAATCCCGAAGAACTCGGACGAAGGATATTTATCAATGGTCGCGACGTGTCCTCTTTTACCCCGTTTTCTCTCATCTATTTTGTCCGCAGCTTTCATTCTCTCTTCGGACCAGGGCGCGGCGGTCAAGGTCGACAAAAGATCGCCGACCGAACGCGTCAGCTTCTCAGCCTCCCCGGTGGACCGGTCTCGGCCTCGTTGAACCCCGTTGAATCTCGTTGAACGAGCCACCATTTCGTACCCTCGTTTCGGTAACGAGCGCCGCCATCCGGCAGGTAGAAAGGGCGCCGTGAATCCGTCAGCTACGAAGTCGTGTAGCTGCCGGTGCGCGCCTGAAGGTAGTGATGATAAAACGGCGGCAGGGTCGTCGTTTCCGCCGTCGACGACACGTTTGTCGAGTTCTGTGAGGTTACCGCGAGGCCCAACGGGGGAGGCCCCGGCGAACGCTAGTGAGCCGCAAGAGAGTGAGCCGTGAGAGCTTGCGGGCTGAGCATCGGCGGACTGTGGCTGTGGCCCATGGGCGAACCGTGCAGGTGATCCTGCGGATGATAACCCTGATGAAGGCCGCCTTGGCCCTGGTGACCCGGCGGCATGCCCTCCATCATGCCGTCGCCGAGAGTATTGGGCGGCGTCATCCTCTTCTCCTTCTGCCGTCGATTACAGAACCACACCCTGACGACTTCCTTCTCGAGTTGCAGCGAGTCCGCTAGCGAGGTGATCTCTTGAGCCGAGGGTTTGGGTTGCTTGTGAAAGTGTTGCTCGAGCGCGCCCTTCACCGATACCTCGATCGATGTTCTCTTCTTTCGCTTTCTACCTTGAGCGGCAATCTTGTCGATGCTCGTCGGCGAGCCAGTCGTCGAATCCGCTTCCTCGAGCCATTTTTGCAGCAATGGCTTCAATTTACACATATTCTTGAAGCTCAACTGTAGAGCTTCGAACCTGCATATTGTCGTCTGCGAAAAGACGTTGCCGTAAAGAGTACCGAGGGCGAGACCGACGTCCGCCTGGGTGAAGCCGAGCTTGATGCGTCGCTGCTTGAACTGCTTGGCAAAGGCCTCGAGATCGTCCGACGTCGGCGTATCCTCCTCGCCGGCGCTGTGATCCCTGTCGAGAGGGTGCCCCGCGTGCAGCGGATGCCCCGACGGTGGACTGTGATTGTGCGCGTCCCTCAAGTGGTGAGGTAGTCCGGTCTGATGATTGTGGAGCTGATGCGGATGCTGGTGCGGATGCTGGTGCAGCATGCCGTTCATCGCCGCATGGTACTGTTGCAGGGTGGTGGGCGAGGCCGCGCCACCGCTGGGGTTGTAATGCGCCGACGGAACGACCGGTGCGTGCCAGGAATGCGGCGAGGCCATGCCCGGTGACTGGTGCGGGCCTCGATGGTGCATCCCCTGGTCCGTCGCGGTTGCCGCGGCTGCCGCGGTCAACGGTTTCACATCGAGACTTGCGTTAGCTTGATGGGGATGATGATGAGGATGATGGGTAGTATGATGCATGCCCATCGAAGCCGCCCAGGGATCGCTGCCAGGTTGTAGGCTCACCCAGGGATTCGCCGACGAGAGACTCGCCGGATGGGAGAGTCCGTTCGGCGACGGCGAAGACGACACCTGATGGTGATGGTGATGGTGGTGATGATGCTGCGGCGCCGGCATGTACTTCATCTCCCCCGCATCGGCGGCGCTGCGGGGCGAGCCCGAGGAATAGCCACCTACGGCGATGTTCATTCCGATCGTTGTACCCGAACCACCATCCAGGTCGGTAGATACTGCGCTACTAATCGGCATGTACGTGGTAGCGGCCATCTACTTTCCGCTCGTCAAGAGGCTTCGCAAAACCCCTTTGGTGTGGTTGGTTCCACGCCGTGGAACGCCCACGGGTTTCTCGAGCTCCTTTCGCAGAAAGATCTTCCGTATGTCGATTCCGTCCGATAGATGAAATAATGAAGATTTTTTTATTTTGCGATAAGAAATCTCCACGAAAATATTGATTGTCACGGTGGAGTGTCTCCTCGCGAGATCTTAGGTTGTCGAGTGTTGTCAGTTGTATATCTAGTCACCTTACAATAATATACGATCGTACGATACTCGACGAGCAGTTTTTTTAATCACTCTTCACACGTAGCACAATCCACAGTTCGCGATGACACACTGAATACCAGACGAAGCTGGTCATCGCTCTTGACGAACTTTCGTCCATAGTTTCTCAAGATTGTGCACGGGATATAGAAACATCGACGAGTTCGCGATACGAGAGACGTTGGTGTGCTGTCTTCTTATCTTTTCCGACGGGGATGGATCCCCGCGGAAAGAAAGCGTGGATCGGAGCACCGCTTTGTCGCGGTACTCCGGTTTTTCCTTTCCTCTTGTGGCACGAGAATCACAAGCGAACTGATCGCTTTATGGTTCCGATCTCCTTCGAGAGACGAGTCGGGAAGTCACTCGCGACCAAAGATATCGATTTAGCCGAGATCACACATCCTTGGAGGGGATTCGAACTTGTCGAATAATCACTATCTCTTGAAAACGACGACGACGATGACGTCTACAGCGATGCGAGGATTACTCCACACTGGTTAGGCGTTGCGTCCGTGGCCCCGATGTGGTAAACGCGAACCGATGACGACGATGCACGGCGCGACTGCACTCGGGGGTTGCCACCGCGGACCGACGACCGAGCAACGAGCGAGCGACCGACCGGCTCGGCGTAAAGGGACGTACGACGGTAATCGCGGAACGGAAGAGACTCGACTCGGCGGGAGTAGAGTAAGTATATGATGTCGTGCGTGTATGTTCCTTCTGTCGGTGGATGTCCCTCTCTTTACATGAGTGTACGTGTACGTATACATACGGTATACGTGTATGCGTGAGTGTGGGTGAGAGAGTACGGGGAGAGAGAGAATATGTATATGTGTGTGAGAGAGAGCAAGAGAGTGATTGTGAATGTGTATGTGTATGTGTGTGTGTATGGCGGCGGAGGAGAGACGGGTTAGAAAGATCTCGCTCGGGCTTTCATGCGTTATGCATGTCGTAGCTGAGAGCGACTGACTGCCTCGCCTCGCAGCTCGCTCGAGGTTCCCGAGGCTCCCGGAGCGGCTTGTGGTGGAGGTACGTCATGCGCGCCACCGTCATGTTCATCCCTACCAGAGGTGAATGCGCCACTCGTGATTGGTCGGCCTCGCAAGGTGGCCGTCGATGTACGTCAGCATCAGGCGGAACCTGAACAAGACCTGCCTACGAAGGTAGGCAAGGCACCCCAGGCGCCAGTCCTTCTCGACCCCCTCTTGTTGTCGCTCGACTACGCTCTCGCCAGGCTAACGATGCTCGTTCGCTGATGCCGTCGACGTTGCTGCTGCCGTGCTGCGCCGCGCCGCGCCGCACCTCACCGCACCGCACCGCACCGCACCGCACCGCGCCGCACCGCACCGCGCCGCACCGCACCTCACAGCACCGCACCGCACCGCACCGCACCGCACCGCACCGCATCGCGCCGCAACCACACCGTTCTGTTGCTCTCGTGGCGATTCGGAGAAGCGCGACTCGAGCTGTCGACTCCACGCGACGTGCGACAAGATTCCACGTCTGTCATGACCCAAGCTCCTCGCGACTTCTTCTCGGATGTGCACACAGTTTATCTTCTCTATGTTTACGTCCCGCCAAATATGTCGTTTTTTAAACGACAGAAATTTTTCACGATCACGGTCGGAACATCGTCGTGATCTCCCGTGACACGCGCACGCATGCAACAGGTACTAATTTCTATGGATAATTGTATGCGCGGTAGACATCGCGATAGCTCGGATATCCCTGTCCTCGTATATCTTGTGAGAATATCCGGTGGGCCCACGAGATTCTTGCGGGAATCGCGCGAAAGGCATTATTAATTAAAAAAAATAATGATAATATATATATATAAAATTACTCTTTACGCATATCACAAGGAATCATCCTGCCTAGATAAAATTAATAGTCGTAAAATCTTCATTTTTTTTCATTTTCGAATTTAGGACAACCGCCTCTATATGCGACTCTGCCGCGTCACGATTGTTTCGCGAGAACCACGATGGCATACTCGTCACGTACGCGAGCGAAAGATCAATTTTTCAGGCACCGTCGGGATACAATCCTGCTCGTCGACAGTTTCATTTCCTTTTCGCGTAGCTCGCGGTGCAACAGGTGCACGGGTAATCGTTGGTCTCGACTCGTCCGCTGATTACGCGCGCCTTCGTTATCGATATTCCGCACCTCGCACCGTAGCCTCGTAGTCGAGTAGCGAGAGGAAAAGAGGGATAAGCCGATAAGTTTCATCCGTCGTAGTGCGAAATCTCGATTTATGAACGGCAAAATTCTTTTTTCGCAAAAAAAATGATTAAGTGGAAAATAAAAAACTCAAGAAAATCACATGACAGCTCAACAAGTGTGCTATAAAATACACAAATTTATGTAAGCTTTAATTATTCACGCATTTTCACTCGTTATGTAGTGCAAAATTCGCGGATATAGAATTTTTCGAAGAAATCTAATCAAAGTTTAATCGATCGCATACAACAGTACACGGTAGATATTAAATCGAGATGATTAATAATGAAGAATGTTCAAATATTTTCCGTGAGGGGGTGGTATTAGGAAGAACGAAATACAAAAAGCGAGTGAATAAGCGAAAGCGAATAATAAGTGCATTGAGAAGAGGAAAGGGGGGGAGAGAAAGAGGGGACGAACGCGCGAGTGAGCGAGGTTTAGTACATTTAAATGAGAGCCACAGGTAGCAGCATTATGCAGTACGTGCCAGCCACCCCTCAGAAGGGGTGAGTTAGATCATCGTGTGCCGCGGGATCCTCCTGTGTCGTAGTCTGTTTCAACTACCCGACTGGCTTTGCGCGCCTTCGCACCTGTGGCCACGCTCGCTCGCGTTATTGTTGCCGCTAACTTCCTTCTCTCCTTTTTTTTTCCTCTTTCCTTTTGCTCGCGCGTGCGAGAAGCGCGGCTAATTATCGCTTATACGAGACGTATGCGAATTCGTCGAACGTTACGATAAAAAAATAATAGGGAAAGAGATGACAACTTATATATCTCTCTCGATTTTTTCTCGGCTTGTGATTTAAATGCATTACATTAAGAAAAAAAAATAAAAATAATTTATCTCAAGTTGACTTAATATAGAAAATAAGTTGACTTAATATAAAAAAAGGAGATATTTTAAATTGATAAGAGATATTATTGAGAGATATTATTGATTAGATTGATGAATGTGTATGCCTTGAATTCGTCAACGATGCACATCAATTTCTTACAGATCGATATTCCTCGCATCGTAAGTTACCACTTTGCAAACAGGCGCACTAAAAGTCTCGCGATTCGAAAAAATTCCTCTACGAGACATTCTTCAAATAATTTTCTGCAAAGTGCAACAGTTGTCCATTTCTAAGTCGAAACGGTGAAATTGAGGCTCTCTTAACGCACGAGAGAAACCGCGGATTATGCTCAAAATATCGCGATGCTTCGGCCAACGACGATCGGTGTCGCCGCGGAATCGTCGATATTTCACTTCGACGACTTTTATTGCGTCTTTCTTATCGTCATCACGGCACGCTCGGGCGGTTGCAAAGCTCTGTCGCGCTGAGAGAGAAATTATGCATTCCGCGTGTACGCGGGTGTACGTTGCCCGCGAACGGTCTCTGGAATTTCACTCGCCACGTCCCCTTTCTCCATTTCATTGCTGCAAGTATACACGAATACGCAAAGCTTACTCAAGTTCTTGGATCTTGGAATATCTGAGATGCCGATAAAATGCGTCATATTATCAAATTAATCATTATAAACATATTATTAACATATAAACGTTACATATGCATTATCATTTATATTAAATAGATATTAAGGTATATTACTCTCTTTTTACGGGGATGTAAAATTACTTTTGCGGTTTTATATATCATTTATGTACGAGTTCCGCGCATTAACAGCTCCGCTGATCTCGCCGAGACGTAATGAAAGACCGGCCATCCGTCTTTTCTATCTCTTTTCTAGCGCTTTTTACCTTTCGCCGTCAACTTTTCGCGGATACACCGACACCGCCGATGATCTACGAGCGGTTGATAAAAGACTCGCGCGAAACGCATAAATTCACGTTCATTATACCCGCAACGGTGGCTCGTTGCCATAAGTGCCACCGCTTATCGTGGGACACTGTAAACAGGCGATAGATATAGAGGGACGGGGGACAATAATAGAATCGTCTTTACATATGTATCGCTGCGAACTGACAGATTATGAATGGCGCTGTTTAAAATGCCGAAGACGGATCTCGTCAAGCGCTCGTTCGACTGAGGTGATATGACGTGCATACGATTTTCACGCGACGCGCGCGTCTTCGGCAAAATACTGGAAACAGAGAAAGGGGTTTCGAAAAGGACTAAAAAAAAGTGCTTATTTACACGAAAATAAAATTGTCGATAATTTTAGGCAAATCAAAGAAGGAAAAAATTTGATGTTGGGTCTTAATTTTTTACTTTGATTAAAAAAAAATAGACTTCCTTGAATAATGTCATAAATGAAATAATTATTTGCAGTATCGTATTGATTAAAAAAATTTCAAAATAAGAAACATAGAGCGAAAGAGAAAATTTTTCCTTTATAATCGCTTTAGCCACTTAATTGATATCACGATATTGCTTCTATCTCCTCGATCGTTATCTTTGCGATGTAGACAGCCCGGTTTCGCAAGTTTGAGTGTCGATCGATCGAGTAGGTCGCGTCGTCATAATGCACCCTTAATTTGATTTTGGTACCCCCATTGTGTCAAATTGGATTGAATGCTGCCGTGAAATATTTGCTTAGGATCCGACAGGTAGCTAGCTGGTTTCCACGTCGCGTAGACGGAACAAACTTGTGGAAGGGGAAGGAAGGAAGATAAGGGACGAGAAACGAAGAGAAAGAGAAAGGATAGGTGCGAGAAAACGCAGGAAACAACTAACAACGGCCTAGTCCTAACTGCGCGAAAACGCTTTACCTGAATGTTGCTTGCATAATTTAGGTGCACCTTTCGGAGCTCAACCCTGAGGGATATATACGGCCCGGTTGCATCTTGTTCTACGATCAGAGGTTCACCGAAGAGTGCGAAAACATTTGTGCATGACAGCATCGAAATCGATTCCACTTAGGCGTTAAACGACCAATTTTCCTTCTTTATCCGTCTTTTCCTCTTTCTCCGCTTGCCGACTTTATAATATAGGGTCTCTTATAACATGCACTTATCACGTCTTAATTTCATCGATACAAAGTATATTAAAATAATTGATGGGAATTTTATCGCATACATTTGTGTAGCAACTTCATTTAATTTACTGCATTTAAAAAAATATATTTTAATATGTAGCATAAAATAAACAAGAGTTATATATGATGCGTAAAACAGCCGTATCTTGGATCATTTTTTATTTTGATCATTTCCTTTACAGAAAAAAATAAATGTCAAATCAAAACTTATATACTTAAATTAACGCGTTTATTGTTTCATATATACGCAACAATCTATAATCTTCTTAAAAGAATTTAATAATTTTAAATTTTAACAATATTATAATCTTATTTCACTATAGTAATTGTCATCTCAAGAATAATTATTTAATTCTACTTTAAGAAATTTATAATCTTTGATTTAAAAATGTTATTTTCTTTCTAACATTTGTTCCTTTCCATTCAAGAAAATTAAATCTTAAATCATAAGAATATATTTTTCTTGATTGAACTATATAAAATGGCTTCATTGAAGCAAGCAATTATTCAAGCAATTATATTTTTCTTTAATTAACATAATATATCTTATTTCAAGATTTCTATGTTAAAGCTAAAGATATTTTTTCAAAATAAGAATGTCCTTTTTTTCTTAGCACCGAAATTAGCCGCGACACTTTGAAAATATCACTCGAATTCCAAATAATCGCCCAGCCAACCGTCGATGCGCGACAATGCTCGTAACGGTGGCTAAGAGAACGTATTTACATACGAAATCCGTTTGTAGACACGAAGAGAGAAATACGTATCGAACGCACTCCTAGAC